ATTTCTGAGAAATTGGTGATCTCGGGTGATTTTTTACCAACTTTATTTTAAAAAAAACAAAAAAAAACAAATTTTCATCAGCACTCGCTACGGTTACCAGCACTCGCTACGGTTACCAGCACTCGCCACGGTTACCAGCACTCTCGCTACGGTTACCAGCACACTCGCCACGGTTACCAGCACACTCGCCACGGTTACCAGCACACTCGCCACGGTTACCAGCACACTCGCCACGGTTACCAGCACACTCGCCACGGTTACCAGCACACTCGCCACGGTTACCAGCACACTCGCCACGGTTACCAGCACACTCGCCACGGTTACCAGCACACTCGCCACGGTTACCAGCACACTCGCCACGGTTACCAGCACACTCGCCACGGTTACCAGCACACTCGCCACGGTTACCAGCACACTCGCCACGGTTACCAGCACACTCGCCACGGTTACCAGCACACTCGCCACGGTTACCAGCACACTCGCCACGGTTACCAGCACACTCGCCACGGTTACCAGCACACTCGCCACGGTTACCAGCACACTCGCCACGGTTACCAGCACACTCGCCACGGTTACCAGCACACTCGCCACGGTTACCAGCACACTCGCCACGGTTACCAGCACACTCGCCACGGTTACCAGCACACTCGCCACGGTTACCAGCACACTCGCCACGGTTACCAGCACACTCGCCACGGTTACCAGCACACTCGCCACGGTTACCAGCACACTCGCCACGGTTACCAGCACACTCGCCACGGTTACCAGCACACTCGCCACGGTTACCAGCACACTCGCCACGGTTACCAGCACACTCGCCACGGTTACCAGCACACTCGCCACGGTTACCAGCACACTCGCCACGGTTACCAGCACACTCGCCACGGTTACCAGCACACTCGCCACGGTTACCAGCACACTCGCCACGGTTACCAGCACACTCGCCACGGTTACCAGCACACTCGCCACGGTTACCAGCACACTCGCCACGGTTACCAGCACACTCGCCACGGTTACCAGCACACTCGCCACGGTTACCAGCACACTCGCCACGGTTACCAGCACACTCGCTACGGTTACCAGCACACTCGCCACGGTTACCAGCACACTCGCTACGGTTACCAGCACACTCGCCACGGTTACCAGCACTCGCTAAGATTACCAGCATTATGTACGCTCTCGTGCTATCCGGGAAACCTATCAACAAGCGGTAAAAATAAATGAAGACACTGTAATGCTGCTGGTTACTGCTATTGGAATCATTTCTCTCAGGACCTGCAGTACTTCTGGTGAGTCCGAACCAACAATCTCCCATGAATCACCAATTTTCAAAGCTGTCTAAATCCACACAGTGTTCCCTTAGATGTATGTAATCAAGGGTCATCCGGAGTTGCTGAACATCAGATAAACAGCTGAAAATGTCTACGTACAGTTGCAGTTGCTGGAAAAATGTCTTCAATGATCCTAATGTCTAGTCTACTAACCACAAGAAGTATTATATCCTCAAAGACACTTCTGGTGTCAGGTTTGTCTCGTCTCAGATTCATTTTCAAATCACCTCTTTCTTTGTCTTGTGTGGCGTCCTTTGAACACCGGTTGGATGCTCTATCAGATTCACATTGAAACCACCTCTTTCTTTGTCTAGTGTGGCGTCCTTTGAACACCGGTTGGATGTTCTATCAGATTCATATTGAAACCACCTCTTTCTTTGTCTAGTGTGGCGTCCTTTGAACACCGGTTGGATGTTCTATCAGATTCATATTGAAACCACCTCTTTCTTTGTCTAGTGTGGCGTCCTTTGAACACCGGTTGGATGCTCTATCAGATTCATATTGAAACCACCTCTTTCTTTGTCTAGTGTGGCGTCCTTTGAACATCGGTTGGATGCTCTATCAGGTGCAATTTCTTTTGCTGATACAAATCCCCCTTCTCTGCATGTTTTTGGTGAAGAAATGCTGATTAGACCTTGGACATCTGTAATGGTCACATCAAAGTGCATAGTCGAGGTCTTCGTGCGTGTTACTTGGAAGGATAGTTTGAGAACCTCGGCCTGGTTATATTAATAATGTATACTGTTATAGGGTAACACGAGGGACCCCCACCCCCAAGGGCAAGGCCTTGGGCGGTCGCCTCGTTCGTCATCCGGTAGCGCCGGCCCTGGTATTTCTCTCCCCAAATATCCAACATTCATGATGTGGCTTTCAAGACCTTGCGCTGTATCCCGTGGCATTATTTGACTTAATTCCCAAAATTGCGCTCGATCACAAGTCTATTGTTTTAATTTTAATGGTGTAAATATCATGAACAAAGTGCCACCGGAGCAGTATCCCCCCCCCCCTTCGCCTCACTAGAAACGCCACTGGTGATATCTCTTCTTGTTCATCATTCGCATGCGAAGATGAACAAGGCTCTAGTAAAGGGGTCTCAAACTCGAGGCCCGCGGGCCATTTGCGGCCCACAAGACGATATTTTGCGGCCCGATTCCTGGCAGCAAAGTTTAGTGTTAATGCGGCCCACGCGTTTTCCCCATTCTCATATCTATAATGTGACCCTTTGCGATGGTTTCAGTCGAATCTTACCGACTAGTCTAATGCTGATGTGTAGTATGTTTGTCTAGATTTGGACGTTGAATAGAATGGTAAAAATCGTTTTAAATTCGGACTAAAAGTTTTTATTTTATAGCATTTGATGAGACAAACATGGCGGCCAAAGTGTGGTTTGGAGAAAAGTTTAAAAAGTCAGTTAGTGGATAAAGCACAACCATAATTTTGTAAACGTAGCAATCTGACACAGTCATGGGCGCCCGCAGAAAACTTTCTAGGGGGGGGGGGCAAACAATTTTTAGTAATGTTTTAATATAGTTTTAATTTACTGTAGCGTATTTGTATGGTGAACGAACGGACAGGACATCAGCTTAGTTACTTTCTCTTTATTTTCTCTTTACTTTAATACATTTTTTGTCTATTTTTGTCTACATTTTTTTTATCCAATCAATCCGGGGGGGGGGGGCAAGTGCCCCCCTTTCCCCTAACTGCGGGCGCCCATGGACACAGTATATATATAATCTATATTAAAATTACCGCTAGTGCGTACGAGTGATGAATGAGGAAAATTTCGAGGGTGTCAGCTTGGTCACTTTCAAAATAGGGTTAGACAAAAAGGAATTTTCTACGATAAAAAATCAAAATTCATTCTCCTACAATAGCATCTGCCTTTGCATCAATAATTTATAACTATTGCATGCTTCTGCCTTCTGTCTGAACACGTTTTAGCCTTCAGAGCTTTCGCGGAGAAGGACGTGATCCCAAATGGCTCATGAACTTGGCTTTTCTTGTTGACATTACAGCAGGAGCTGAATGTACTCAACAAGAAGTTACGAGACCAGGGGCAGTTTGTCAGTGTTGCCTATCACAATGACAGGGCATTCTGCACAAAACTTGTGTTATGGCTCTCAGATAAACCTCCGCCATTTCCCAACATTCAAAGTACTCATAGACTCGGGCACATCATTCAGTAGTAAGTAGACTGATGGCATTACAAAGCTACAGGAAGAATTTGGTCATATATTTGCAGACTTCAAAACACAAACAGCTGCTTTTACATTTTGTTGCTAACCTTCTCTCCTTCAATGTGTAAAATGCCCCCACCCACTTTTTGCATTTCAAATGGAGCTGATTGATCCTCAGTGCAATTCTGAACTCAGAGCTAAGTTCAGGGAGGTGAATGGAAAAATAGACAAGCGTGGACAATTTATGAGAACATTGCCATCCACCTTCCCTATGAGATTTCCAGGTTGTTTAAGCGAAACATGTGCCTTGTTGGGAGTACCTATCGTGTGAAAAGCTCTCTTCCACTATGAGCTATAACACGTCAAAGTTCAGGGCCAAACTTACTGATGAGCATCACTATACTATAGAGAGCATCACTATACTATAGAGAGCATCACTATACTATAGAGAGCATCACTATACTATAGAGAGCATCACTATACTATAGAGAGCATCACTATACTATAGAGAGCATCACTATACTATAGAGAGCATCACTATACTATAGAGAGCATCACTATACTATAGAGAGCATCACTATACTATAGAGAGCATCACTATACTACAGAGAGCATCACTATACTATAGAGAGCATCACTATACTATAGAGAGCATCACTATACTACAGAGAGCATTGATTATGCTATTACATTGTAGGGTTATCAGATCACTTCTCCAAACACCTTCCCCGCTCCTGGGGTGCGAAAAAGCTGGGCTCCAAGGGTAATAGGGTATTATAAGCTATATAAGGCGGTATTTATCCCTATGCTGAAAGACCCGATTGTCCGAACTGGACACTGCAATCACTATCCGGTGTGTGCATCAGAGGCGTAGCGAGGGGAGGGCAGTGGGGGACAGATGTCCCCGGGCACCAGGTAGTTAGGGGCGCCAAAATGTGCTTTGATATTATATTATTGATGAAAATAATGGGTTTAAGAGTTTAAAAAAAGAAGAAAAAGGGGCGCTTTACAATGGATCTTGTCCCCGGGCGCGAATTTTTTCCCCGGGCGCCAAACACCCTCACTACGCCTCTGGTGTGCATGGATCCTAGTTATTTGAACGCTACCATATTTTCCATGGGGCTGATCGCAGCGATTGTGCACACATTTTCTTCAGACAATGTCTTCTTAGCATTGACAACGACAATTTAGTTTACATTCGACGACAATTTAGTTTACATACCCGCATTGTCTATTTGAAACAAATTGTAACGAGTTGAGACTAGAATATGTACGTACGTGTCGAGTTTCTCTTCATCTCAACTGGCTCTTGAGTCACTAAGTAAATAAGTATGTAAATAATTTTATGTTTCCGACTAAATTTGCATGCATTAGTGTAAAAAATGGTATTAGTGGTAAAAAAAAAATATATCAAAAAATTATCGCGGCACATTCTTTTGCAAACTGAGTGATCAATGCCGTATAACTCGACCGCGCCACCTAGCGATTCACCAGTGTCTGTTCCCTTCCCTTATCACAATGAAAACATGGCGGTGATGGTGGCGATACACTCAATTATCGATCAGTTCGATGTAGCCGAAATTGCAATGAGGAGAATCACCATAGTGTTTTGTCGATTGTAAGTCAAATACACCAGATGCTACATATGTATGGTTCTCAGCTCAATAAAATACCCGAATTAAATCTATATTCTTAGAAATTGACATTGTTTTTCTTTGGAACATTTTTGTTGTTATTTTTTTTAAGCTAGGGTTAGTGATAAAAAGCTCTCGATATCGTGCCGGTATTGTGATTGTCATTCACGGGCACAGATGTTGGGGTTGATATTGATTTGTCTGTGCATAGAGAGGAATGCACCAGCCAAGCTGCCCAAAGGTATGTCCCCTAAGCCTTACGGTCCATGCCATCGCCATGGGCATGGGCATGGGAGCTATATTTTTCAATTAAATTAATAATTATAATTTTGTTAAACTGTCACCCTTTTTAATTAAAAAAAACCCAACTAGTTTAGGTTTTATTTAAGTTCTAATAAAATGATATAATCTATCTAGTATCTAAGCCTCTTTTATTTATTATGCCATTATGCATTTTTATTATTTAGACTTGACTTAACTTAACATTGAGTTGACTCATTGACTAAACCTAAAGCCTAATAGTCAGTCTACTGACTCCTACTGATAGAGATTATGATTTCGTTTACTTATATTCAGAAAAATGTCTGGTCCTATAATTTGGGTAATTTTTATGAAGTGACTTTGCAGCCCAAAACTAAATCAGGGCTCCATAGTCCTTTTTAAAATTTAAATGCTCACAATGACAATGTAAAAATAAAGACAATAAATGATGTTAAATTAAGCTTTAAAAATTATTGATGATGCCCAAGCAGGCTGAAAACTGGCGAAAATATACTTCTTTTAAACAGCTAAGTCAAAGTTTAGCCATGCCTTAGTAAATTTAACTAATAATAAATAATTTCATCTTTATTTCATTTGTAAAAATGGTCTTAAACTTAAGTTAATCTGAACATTTAAATATTTTTTCAACAACGCTCATTGCCTTTGTGGGAAATATTTAAATCGGCTATGTAACAATAAAAAAATGGAATATATAAAAGCACTTATAACTTCATGTGTTCAGGAGAAATGAGTGCTGGTGGCTGCCATTTTTATAATTTAAGTCATTGGAAAGTTGAAGGAACGGTTTAAGCACAAATTAATTAAATGTTTTTATTTCCTTGAAATTCAATTTTTACAATTTTTTTGGAGGCTGTTCCTATTTTCATCTGATTTTAACTTTCTTAAGCTTTCAAATAACAAATGTATTTGTGTATTTTTATAACCTAAAAGTTTTAATTAAAAAAAAAACTTACTTGGAGCTAATACTAACCCTTACTGTGGAGGCTAGCGTCCTAGTAACAGGCGCCATCTGTTAGTGTTTTGTAATATATATATCTATAACATGGCATCTACTTCTCATGCTATATCCTTAAACAATGAAATAAATACAAATGCAACATATCTCAAATTGAATTTTAAGGTGCTGCTTTTATTTCTTAAACATGTCTTAAAATGCATTGCTTTGAGAAAGTTTGTGCAGAAAATATTTTTTAAAAATTAATAAAAGTAAAACATATTTATAAATATATCCTACATTTAATTTGAATCCTTTGGCTTCATAGAGTGCCATTACTTAAGCATTTTAATAAATTTTAAATTATTTTCTACTTTTTAGTGCATTTAAACTCGTGTTAGAAAGTCTTTTTAAAAAGTTTATTAATTATATTTTTTTTGGCTTGTACATTGACAAATGTTTAGTTATGGAGATATATGATATTTGAATTGCAATTATCTAATAATGTGATAGCCGCAACGGGCATTGATTAGATTGAGCCACTGGATTAATTTGATTGTTCAAGTTTTATAGCACTGAAATTAAATGAGGGGAGTTGATGTGGGAATGATTCAGCTTCTGATGATTCATTGGCAGTGGCAAATAACCATTTGACATTTGGAGTTGACATTAGACATCTGTCATTAGCCCACCTAGTTTAGTGTGTCCCCAGTAAAGAGATTATTGATTAGCTTTGGCTTCATGTTTTGAGATTATGGAAGAAACTCTCTAGAGCAAGGGATCATTTTAAATGTTTAGTTGGAGATAAACTTGCTGTTGATCACAATAAAGATCTATTTGACATTTTATGTTTCCTTATAAATATATTAGTAGCAAAAGTTGTTTTTTTTAAATTCATTTTTTTTTCAATGCTTAAATTTTAAATTATATTGAAATATTAATTGTTTTGAATAAAAAAACTAAAACTCACTTTTCTGAATTCCTCAGATTTTAATGAGACCTAGCTCACCGTTATTGCATTCGTACACAATGTAGTTTATAAAGCAGTGGTTCTCAAAATTTTTCAGCTACCCCCTCCTTTGAGACAATAAATTCATCCTCATCTACCCCTGGCCCTGGGACCCTATTATAAGCATTTTCAGAATCATATTTTGCAACAGCCTCTGTGTAAGAAAAAAGGGTCCTATGTAAATGAAAATGCAAATGGAACTTACTCTTGAATTGAATTTGATAAGCTTATTAATTTGATGAAATGATAAGACAGGTTATTGAAGTAGGTTAATTATTTAGCAAGAGTTTTAAATGTCTATCGTCTTCACTGATCAATTAATGTATTTTTAATGTGATGTCTATTCCTTCTCTAGCAACAAAAGTAGTGTTTGTTTCTTCAAATATATCCAAAAACCTCGTCAAATAGTTAAATGAATCATGCACTTGCCTTATAATGCCAATGAACTTTTACAGTAAGAAGCAGCTACACTTAAAATCTGCATGATTCTCCGCACAGACTAGAGTGGTGAAGAACAGTCAATGATTAAGAGCTGCCATTTAATTCACCTCAGTAATGAGCATGATTCTCAGCACAGACTAGAGTTGTGAAGAACACTCAATGATTAAGAGCTGTCATTTAATTCACCTCAGTAATGAGCATAATTCTCAGCACAGACTAGAGTGGTGAAGAACAATCAAAGATTAAGAGCTGCCATTTAATTCACCTCAGTAATGAGCATGATTCTCAGCACAGATTAGAGTGGTGAAGAACAGTCAAAGATTAAGAGCTGCCATTTAATTCACCTCAGTAATGAGCATGATTCTCAGCACAGATTAGAGTGGTGAAGAACAGTCAAAGATTAAGAGCTGCCATTTAATTCACCTCAGTAATGAGCATGATTCTCAGCACAGATTAGAGTGGTGAAGAACAGTCAAAGATTAAGAGCTGCCATTTAATTCACCTCAGTAATGAGCATGATTCTCAGCACAGATTAGAGTGGTGAAGAACAGTCAAAGATTAAGAGCTGCCATTTAATTCACCTCAGTAATGAGCATGATTCTCAGCACAGATTAGAGTGGTGAAGAACAGTCAAAGATTAAGAGCTGCCATTTAATTCACCTCAGTAATGAGCATGATTCTCAGCACAGATTAGAGTGGTGAAGAACAGTCAAAGATTAAGAGCTGCCATTTAATTCACCTCAGTAATGAGCATGATTCTCAGCACAGATTAGAGTGGTGAAGAACAGTCAAAGATTAAGAGCTGCCATTTAATTCACCTCAGTAATGAGCATGATTCTCAGCACAGATTAGAGTGGTGAAGAACAGTCAAAGATTAAGAGCTGCCATTTAATTCACCTCAGTAATGAGCATGATTCTCAGCACAGATTAGAGTGGTGAAGAACAGTCAAAGATTAAGAGCTGCCATTTAATTCACCTCAGTAATGAGCATGATTCTCAGCACAGATTAGAGTGGTGAAGAACAGTCAAAGATTAAGAGCTGCCATTTAATTCACCTCAGTAATGAGCATGATTCTCAGCACAGANGGGGGGGGGCGGCCACCCCCCCCCCCCCCCCATCCCCCCGCTGTCCCGCCAACTCTTTGAGAACCACTGATATAAAGTAAGGATTTTAAAAAATTTAATAAAATGTCAGTTTTGAATGGTTAATTCGAATTGTTAAAATAATTTGTCATATGCTATTTCTTTACAGACGATGAAAGATCTGAGACACCTGTGAATGTTATTAGTCAATCAGCTAAAGGTTATTTTCACCTGAAGTAACCTCTCCTGGCTTAAAGTTTAGCCATGAAGAACAAACCAGTTGTTCCTGGAAATTCTGGGCGTTCAAACGCAAAAGGCATGAGTAAAGAGAGTGGGAAACAAGGAAAAATGATGTCCCCCAAAAAGGCAGAAACCAAAAGAGCACCATTGAAACTGAGAACCAAGACTGATAAATCTATAGCTAACCGTACGAGAGATAAATCCCCAAAAGAAACAAAAACATTGAGTGCCAGAAAGTCTCAATTGCCTCTCACGGATAAGTCCAAAGTAACTAAAAGCAGGTTGTCTGATTCTACAAAGTCAAAAACGCTGTCTCAGAAAAAATCCAACGATTTACTTCGTGGAGTCAAATCAAAGGTTTCGGCGCAGAAAACCAAGGCCGATAAAGCCAAGGCCAGTTTGAAACAGAAAGATATCAAGCGAAAATTGAAAAAACTGACAAGTTCTAATAGTTTTCTTGATTTTTGGGGTCTGAAAGTGGTTGGCAAACGAGAGGCCAGCTTAAACGCCAGCTTGAAAGTAAATATCATGTACGAGAGGTCGGTCCCGGTCAAGTCACAGGTAAAGGTGCCTAAAAAACTGCTAGAGAATAGCGAGGAAGGTCCCAAAGAAGAAAAAGGCAAAGATAAAGCATCAATAAAAGTGACACCTGAAGAAGCTGTAGACAAGAATAGATTAGTTAAGAAAGAATGTTCTAGGTCAAAGACAAAGCTAGAAGAGTCATCTAAATCACAAAAGTCTAGTCTTAAAAATTCACAAACAAAGCCAAAGAAGGAATCTGTGACAATGATCCATACCGGTAGTGACAAAAAAAGGCGGAGCCCAGAGTATAAGATTTTCAAAGATGAACCGCCGGCAAAGTGTCGAAAAACGTCGTCTGCCAAGTCCCTGTCAAAAGCCAAAGCAGCTGTCAAAAAGAAAAAGAAACCCTTCCCTAGCGGTCATCAGCTTAGCAACATCATTGAAAAGTCCCCCAGACAGGCCAGCTTGATAGCCAAGGCAATGATTGCACTAGAGCAAGAAGAAGAATCTGTGCTGGAATCTGCTGCGAGGACAAGAGTATTTGACTGGACAGAGCTGAGATCCTATGTTCAGAATCCTTCTAGGCAGATGAGATGGAAGACAGGGCTGGGAAGTCCTGATCCTAAACCTGATGTTAAGAGCAGTGATGCTGTGCCGGCCACAGACAAAGATGAGACATCAGAGATAGATGTCAGCAATCTCGTGGACAGTGTTGAAGAACGGGAATCTTTTCATAATACTCTGCTTAGAACTTTACATCAAGTGGGAGACAGTCGGCTCCTGAAAGAATATTTAAGGGCCCAAAAGGAGGACTTCCACGGCTGCATTGATGTAGAGAAATGTCCAACTCCAGAAAAGTTAAAAGTTGCCTCCCCTAGTCCAAAAAAGCTTTGTTTAACACCCGTATCTGATGAAAAACCTGAAAAAATAGCCTCCCCTGTCAAAATTCAATCTTGCAGAGTGGCAACGCCCATTCCGCAGCTGCCTGTTGGTCAGAGAACAAGCCATATGACCAGTTACATCCACCATCCTATTCCCCAGCCGGTGTACGCTCCGCAGCACTCGCATCCTCAACCCATCAAAGTGCCCCCCAGCTACACACAGCCTGCCTACATCTACCAGTATGCCATGGATAGACAACAGGGGCTCTACGTCCCATCAAGCCCATCACCTGTTCCTTATGGGGTCAGCAGTAGTGACATTGTCAATGATTTTTCATCTTACACTCTCGGTCCAATGGGAACTCGGAGTCTGGGTAGAAGAGGAATTGCTCCATACCAAGCAAATTTCAACCCATCAATACATCTCCCCATGCAACAAATTGGTAAGACTTTTATTTTTCATGCATACTTAATACACATTTAACATTATGTAGGATTTGCACTTCTACCAAGGAAGAACATGATTAATAAATCATTTTTTAACATTTGTTTTAATTGGCGTTAGTTTTGATTTATCATCATTGTTAAATTTCTTGATTAGAAAATTAAAGTTGCATAACTGTAATGTATCCTTTACCTCAGGGGTCTCAAACTCAAATCATCCACAGGCCGCAGGAGTTAGAGTCTGAGTTAGAATGGGCCCCATCAAGTGGTTCACCAAAAAAGCCATTACACATTGACTTAAGTGCAACAGTTACAATCTGCCAAATCTTTATAAATCGCGAATAAATGAAAACATGAAGCGTTCTCAAGAACTAGGCTTCACTTTCTTCCACCTACTCACTGTTGCCAGAGACTTGGCAGCACTTCTTCTTGCACAGCTGAGCAACATTTGGCTTGAGTGAGGAAGCAACTGATGCCCTCAGTATAGCTTGAAGATGCTCATTAGTAAGTTTGGCCCTGAGCTTTGACTTGTTCAAGTTCATAGTGGAAAAGAGCTTTTCACACAGATAGGTAGTCCCAAAAAGGCACACGATCTACTAGAAACAACCTGGAAAACTCAGGGAATGTGGAGGGGAATGCTCTCATAAATTTTCCAAGCTTCTCTGTTTTTCATTGTCCAAACTTATACAAACTAAAATAAAGATCAGATATATACTAATCTGTGAGATTTGACTAAAACCGTCGCAACGATTCACATTACAGATATGAGAATGGGGAAAACACGTGGGCCGCATTAAGAATAAACTTTGCCGTCAGGTAGCGGGCAGCAAAATATCGTCTTGCGGGCCGCAAATGGCCCGCGAGTTTGAGATCAAAGCATTGTAGCTGTAGTGTTGCTGTAGTTGTAATTTTAGTGGTAGCTGTAGATGTATTTGTAGTTGTAGCTGTAGTTGTTGCTGTAATGTAATTGTAGCTGTAGTTTAATTCGCATTTTTATTACAGTTTTAAAATCTGGAACTGTTACAAATATTGTACTAAAACAATTCAATATGTGTGCAGTTTTGAGTTTTACAGACAGTGAAGATATAAATGCAACCAATCAAGTAAATTTGTTCAAGATTGTATCTTTTCTTTTCTTCTCAGCTGGATTCAATTATCCATCATACTACACTGCACCTATTCAAAGTCTGCCACAATCTAATGGTCCAGCACTGCAGGCCTTACACCAGAGATATCCTTTGGTTCAAGCCCAATCTGTGATACATGCTTTACCTCAGGACATGGGACAAATGGGAACTTATCCTGCCGGCTATCAACCCTACCCGCAGCTTCCGAACATGAGTCAAGACGCCGGCTGCATGCCGCCTCCTCCGCCCCCGGCTCATTCCCACAGACCAACTTCTATCGGGCCCCCTCCCTTGGGGCCCCCATCCATATCTCACCAACCATCTGTATCTCCCATGGAGTCTTTGAGGTCAATGAATCCTGTGGGGGTCCAGCCTATAGTCAAATCTCCTGTTCTGGACTTTACAACAGGATCAGACCGTCAGGCCATGAATCCTCATCGCCAGATGGTGCTGCCAGCATACAATAAAACAATTTACTATTCCACTAACAGAAACACTAACTCCAATTCGCCTGCCAAGTATTCTGTAAGCATAAATGGGCACAGCACATTTTCCCCATGTAAGAAAGAGAGGGAAGAAGTTTCTGCCCAAAACTGTGATGTAATACAAAGAAGCACCATCTGCAGCAGTGAGAGTACTCAAAGGACATCTAATCCCCGCAGAACATCCTCGGAGGGCTCCGATGTTTCTGATCTTCTTCACAGCGCACACACTGCTATGTATCAAATAGATGGAATGAACTCATCAGAAATCCACCAGACCCAATCTTCAGTGATGTGCAATACCACGGTGGGTAAGAGCAGCCCTTCAAAAATCAGCATTATCGGCCACACATCCTTCAACGCATCCTACTCGGTGTCATCCATTCTGGACATGCCAACTTATAAGATCAAACCTGAACCGCCCGAAGTAAAGCTTTGTGCAATGCACCCAGCAAATCTTCCAAACAGCATCAACTGCAAGCCACTGGATGTTCCTCAGAAAGAAAATACTCCTTGTACTCCTTGCGTTATGGCCGCCTCAACCATCTCTGACAAAGGCACGGATACGAGGGATTTAAAGATGGAAACTCCTAGTATTAAAACGCAGAAACTTGACTCAGTTTTTCTGAACCAGAGCAGCTGTCAAGTTGTTCTCGAGAAGCCTTTGGAGGCTCAAAGGAATAATAATGATGTCATAGTTATTGATGACACGGACGAGTCTTCAGATGATGAACCATTGGCCAAATTGGTCAAAGCTAAAACTAATGATAATGCTGAGAATGTAGCGGTAGAGCCCTCTCTGTCTGACAGTCAGAAGGTCACAGATGCACTAGGGAAGAAGAACCAGTCTCAAATTTCTGGCTGCTTGCAGCTTAAAAATAAAGTGAAGAAAGAAGTGGAAAATAAAATCAAAGAGGATGGTAAGCTCAAATCAGGTTTTAAAAAAACAGAAAAGCAATCTATTGTCAGCATCAGTTATCAGAGAGGGCCACACAACAAAGAGAAAAAATGTGTGAGCTTCAAGACTGCGTCTGATGCTGAAAAACGTGCAATAATGAAAGTCCACGAGAACAATAATAATACAATGACACCTTTAATTATAGTGATAGATGATGCCACCAAAGTGGACAAAAGCGGTGAATTCAAAGCTAGAGGGAATGGGAAAAAGACATTAGGTGTGTCCAATCCAAAGTCTAAAAAGCTGAGTAAGAAAGTCAAGGTGGATCTTGTGTTTCCCCAAGTGCCCCCCAGAGCTAACACCAACCATGGATGGACCTGGGTAGGAGAGGGTCAAATGAAAGCCATACCTAAACTTACATTGGTGAGTTGTTAGTGGGTAACAGCGGTACTAACTATTCTTGAGCAGTGTGCAAATGGTTAGATGAAGGCTAGGCCTTTGAGGCTTCCAATCTCTACAGAGATATCATTTAATCTCTTGTTGTCTGAATGATCCCAAGCCCAAGTAGCCTGCAAATAACATGTATGTTACCCCGCTAACCTTTCAGGCACTCTGTTTCTATTTAAATTTTTTCATTTATAGGCCAGGGAAGAACATGTAAGAATACGTAAGAGCTTCAAAGCCATGCGTCACAGTTCGGGCGAAGTTGTTTCAGTGCGAGACAGCGTCATTTTGCAGTCAGATGGTGATGGCAGTATTCCATATGTGGCACGAGTCAGTGCTCTATGGGAGAATCTAAATGGTAGGTTATAACATCTCTGATGAATGATGATTAACATTAGCTTTACAAAAGAAATAGTGACTCAATATTTAATGCATTTGTAAATTATGAAATAAGCTTGAAAATACATTTTTTTTAAATTTAAAAAGCCCCATCCAGCAGATAGCAATCAGTTGAGAAATCTTCAAGGTTACCTCATTTAATGCTCTGCTGGATTTGTCATTGAGACATTTACTTTGATCTTACAAGCATTGACAGTGGTCTGTCATTAACTTTAATGTACATCTTTGCTCTGAGGAAATCTCATGTTTCGTTGATCTGTGTTGTGCTTGCCAGGTGAAATGATGTTCAGCATGCTGTGGTATTATCAGCCAGAGCACACTGTGCAGGGACGGGAGCCCGAGGATGGGGAGCAGGAGCTTTTTGCCTCAAAGCATAGAGAGGAGAACAGCGTGGCTTGCATAGATGACAAGTGTTTTGTACTTATGTACAATGAATATTGCAGGTTGGTAACAAAATTGGCTTTTGGCCCTGGGGAGTATATTAAATTGGTATTGATGATAAACATACTTAACCAAAGTCTGAATACAAAGTAAAGCTGAATACGATTAAAAAATAAATATTTTATATTGAAATTTTTGTGGAGGCATGGATTATTTTTCTTATTAAATTAATAATTTTAATGTTTTGCATTTCTTAAAAACTATCTGTAATGCTAAACCAAGAATCATAACTTGATTACCTAATTTAAGGACACATATTTACGAAAGATTGATGTTCTTCAGATTGGAAGCAGAGGCTGTCCGCATTGAGCAGGGAGTGGCCTTACCACGTTGGAGAGCTCAACTACCTGGCATATCAGAAGAGGACCAGAAATTCCTTAGACCAAAGCCACCAGCAAACGCCTGCGCAGAGAATATCTGGTTTTGCAGGTATGATTATGACATTAGAAAAAAGATTGTCAAGAAGCCGAAGCACAAGAAATCAAATCTGAGGTACAGGGCACCATGCAAAATTGTCTAAGCATTAATTTTCAATGTACACTGGTTGGCCTTTATATTATTCCACTGATGACTTTTTTTTATGTACCACTGCTGTTGAATGGTGAAATTGTATCATAATGTATCAGGGTCCAAGTATGTTGATTATTGGGGAATGAATTTGAAATAGTTTTATTTTATATCTGATGAGGTAAGATTTTTTTTATGTGTTTTCATTTATCTGTCATATTTATGCAAATAAGAGAATCTTTTCTAAAAAATTCAGGTATTAAACAAGACTAGTTTGTACAAAAATCCTCTCAAACATATATTCCATTATTCACCGGTTATCTCAATAATTTATGTACCGGTTATCTCAATAATGTATTTGTGGCAGTTACAAAACAAAACTGCAATAAATTTGTAAGCAAAGGAAGAAGAAAAGCTTTTAGATTTTGCTGTGATTGATGTACTAAAATAATGGTTTTAAAAACATAAAGTAATCCTCTACAACAAGGTTGTATAATTTGATGTTGTGAAGGCTTTAAAAAGAGGCTTACTGGGAAACAAAATACTTTCTAATGATTTTAACAATTACATGTGTACAAAATTATTTACTTACTTTTAAATTAACCTTGGTTAAAAGATTAAGATAAATATAATTTTGGACCAAGTGCAAAAATGCCCTCTTCACTGAACCACCAAAATGATGATATTTGGAAACAAATTTGTTTCACTCTCCAATTTTGTAAAAAAAACCACACAAAAAATCCATTGACTTTCACTTTAAATCAGTATTTAAATATCAAGGATCAATAAAAGATTTTTGGGAATACATTTTATACATGATCTAAAGAATAGGTAAGCACTGGTAAGTTAAAATTATTTGTTTGAAATTATTTTGATGTTAATTTTAGCATTTCTGTTAATAGTACTTTGAATTTAAATGGGCATTTCTGTAACTATGATGCTGATTGAACACTAAACTAGATCTTTTGAAACAAAAAAATTCTATGTTACTGCTGTCTTTCTTCAAATGATGTTATGCTGGCCTTGAATTATTATTTATTTTTCTACAAAAATAGCAATAGCGAAATCAAATTTCATTTTACATTTTTAAAAACTATTATTACAAATAGCTCAATTTTGGTAAAAATAGACATTTTGATTTTAAACTGGGATTGGAATAGAAATAACTTACAATTTTTTTTATAGAAGTAGTATTTTTAAGGATGCAAGGCATGATGATTTATGTGTAAAGAAATCCTTAACTAAATAAAAGCTTAATTAACCTCAAATAATTAAAAAATGTATATAATTAAAAATGAAATCTACACGTTTTAACAATGGGAAAATGTTCAGATCAAAACTGTTTTGTTCGATCCTAACAAATTTTTGTCATGAGGGCAATACCAACACCACCAATATTATATTACTGTAGCTTCAAAACGAAATTTGATTTGTTAGTATTAGTTGAAATTTAATGTCCTCACTATCAGATTTATGACACACTGAGGCTTTTATATATTGGCAAATCTGATTCCCTCAGTTGAGAGATTAAATCTACCTAAAAATATGCAAATTTAGCTTCATTTAGGTGGTAAAAATTTAAAGTAGCAATCTGTACTTCTGTCCTTTGACACACAGTGGCTTTTTAAAATGTGCAGAGCCTACATTTTTCAAATTGTGATCTTAAAATATCTTAAATTATTAATTTTGAAGCCAAGCAATGTTTATCACTAAATGCTCTTTTTAAAAATCTTTTGAATAAACTAATAAAAAAACAAATAAAAAGCAACATATTTATTAAGTAACTTTGACGAATGCACTTGGTGCATGAGATTGTGACGAGGGTGACATTTCTTGTTAGTTTTTAATGATCGTGGTATGGAAGGTTTCCAAACCTTATTTTGATGCAGCTGGATGTGAATATGTTGTGACAATGGCTCCATCACCTCTATTGTATAAGTTTGATCCCAAATCTCCTGTAGTCTTGGAGATACATACAAAGCTGTGAACATAATCATTCCAGTTTCAAATATTTGATTAGTTTGTACATTGGCTCCAGGTGATGCTGCTCTTTTCTAGCATCACCTCAAACATTTTATAAAGCTAATGATATTTTGAAAATTGGCTATTTGCCCAACTTTTTAAGACACAATAAATATTAATAATTTATCAGTCTTTTTTTTAAATTTAAAAAAAAATCTTTTGAAGCTTAACATTTTAATGAATACAGTTCTAAGGTTATCAGCATTCTATCAAAGTTTATATAAAATTATATATATTTATATTGTTTTACAATTTTTAATTTGAATAATCTGTTATTTGCTATCAACTATTATCCTTTTAAAATGCCTGCCAACCACCCAAAAATGATGGGGGTTGAGGAAGATTGTGAGCACATCAGTAGATCTGCTGGAACCTGTTTCCTGAATCTCAAATTATAAATATTGAAATTAGTTGTGATTCAAGAGGAACAAAAATGAGTATAAAGTAATATGATTATATCTATTCGTCATGTCTTCTATTTAGGTACTTAAAAAATTAATAAATATTGCACTGAAAATGTATAATTTCATTTTAAAATTATCCTTTGAAAATGTAAAAAAAAAAAAATACTTGATTTGGGAAAGTTATATTAAAACAATGGAGCATTAAAAGAGGTGGTTGCAACATTTTAAATTTCGATAAACAATATTTGCTCAGGCTTTTTGGTATTGGAAGGTAAAAGAGATGGCTCATGTTTGAAGTTTTTTTTATTAATACATTGATTAAAAGAAAAAAATGAGAAGCAGTGCATTGCTAAATTCTTAGTTTACCGGTACTAGTTTATTCTGGATGATGCGTTAAACTTATACTGTCACAAAGACACATTTATGTGAGCTAAAAAAAGAGGATAGTTTTTTAATAAGATCTTTCTTTTTAAAACCAATGAATGTTAATGTGAACTCATATGAACCTTATGGTAAAAGTAGTGGATTCTTGTCTGTTGTCTCCATCAAGCTTGGTCCATTTTCAAATGCATCAAACTTATTTTGAAAAAAAAAAAAGGGAAAAAAAAGGAAAAATAAATTTTGTACGAATGTCTTTCTTACTTTAGATGTGTATAAATGTACAGTATTTATCTAGACCCGTGGTCTGGTTGTGGGAGGAGCATGCCAAATAATGCATCATATTATATTTATTGACAGTATTTAATTATGATAGGCCATGTGTTTATATACTCTTAGCAAATCCTATTCTTAAGCATATATTTTTTATTTTTGTGCAACTGATTTATCATTTAAGAATATTTCTTGCTTTTTGTTATTTTTGTTTGTATTTTTAAACCGTGTTCAAAATGATACTTTCAGTTTCTTTCTCAAAGAAATTCTTTTGTTACCTTTTAATGAAATGTAAACCTTTTAAGGGCGTGCCAGGGCAGAATCTTAAATCTGTCAAGAATCTTGATTTTCAGATAGCGGAGAGGATTTAGTACTCTTTACACAATTGAAATAGCAATATGACTGTCAAATCCACATCAAGTTTACATTGATTATTAGTAACGTAATATTTTAAAGTTAGTCTCTTCTGCGGTGAATGTGTCTTTCAATGTTTATGGCAACATTTTAATTGTATAAACTACTTTGCTCCAGCCTGGAACTATATTATGATGATTTGTCATATTACCAACCACAATCTGGCAATTTTGGTTGAGATGACATTTCAGAAATAACAACCACATTGTCTACCAATGTTACTAAGTCTGTAGTTCAGTTACGATAATCATTTTCCTGAGCTCCATTGCTCACTGATCTTTGTTTCTTTGCGGGGGAAAAACGTTGTTTTCTTTTTGTGTGCATGTAACTTATTAAAGTGTCTTGAATTGTAACATATTTTTAATCTCCAAATTTTAAATAGTAGAAATGTGAAGTCATTTTAATGATTTGAAGCGGCAATTCTAGTCTTTACCAATCAGTTTACACATAGAAATCTTCCAGTAAGTTCTTTTAAGTTAAATATTGCTACTAAAATTATTGTAAATCCTATTATTTTGTTCAGTTATTCAGGTATAACATGTAATTTACAAATGAATGAATTTTTGATCCAGAATCTCATAGATGACACAATGAAAGTTTAGATGGTACAATTTTAAATTAAATCTTCATATAATTTTACTTTGTTGCCTTCAAATTTTAAAAAACAGAATTGAGTGCTCATCTGTCAGCTTAAAGAACTGTGTTTAATGTATAATCATATAAATATTAATATGAGTGAATATCAGTCATCAGCATTTATTTTCACATGCATTTTTTGGTCAGACTTAATTGCAGAACATTTTTATTAAATTCTATTTATAAATTGTATATGCACGCTCACACCCCACACCCACAAAATAAAATTTTAAAAACTGCATTTATTAATTTTTATTTTCAAACCAATATTTCAATAATATTGTCATATTAAAGAATTTTACTTGTGTGATATTTACGAGGAATGGTAAAAAGCAGGAGAAACAAACAACAAATTTTACTTTTCAAATACTTCACATGGGATTTTCAACAGCTCTACTACAATACTTATTAAAATTAACAAAAATTAGGGTGCAAGAGATAATGTTTTTTTTTTTAAAATATTTTTTTTATTTTGAGATGTAAATTATTTGGATTAAGTTTTTGTGCATCAGAACTGGTGCCAGATAAGTCATTCCAGGTTGTTTTATAAAAATAAAAGCAGTTCACTAGGTGACTCTGCCCCTGCCAAACATTGGGATGGAATGATCAACTATTTCGTGTTGATAAATGTTGTTTTTGAGGCAGTAATTGAAACCAAGTTGCATTTCATCAATGAAAAAATAAAACGCTCACCCTTAACTAAAATTAACTATTTTTTAAAAGGTCAACTTGAAATTCCAAGCATTTTATGGCCACACATGGGAATTCCAATTCCAATTATTAAAATCTCTGGGTTAACTGAAGCTTAATTCATGAATGACATCATTAGTGTTACCATGACTACACACCACAAGATGATATGAGTTTGAATGAGCTGTAAATAGTTCACATGGTGTCACTAGAAAACACTCATTTATTGCTGTTGAATAGCACACACTTTGCACACTTGTCTAGCAATCCTGCACCAAAAAACATTTCCCTTGATAAGTTATTCTGTAAATTGTCTTAATTACATT